AGTGATTGGCCTTAGACTAAGAATAGTTTAAGGATATTGTTGAATGTTGAATATTGAATATTGAATATTGAATATGAGTAAATATTGAATGATGAATATTGAATTGAATATTGCAATTATTATGAATGACTGATGAACATTGAATGTGAATATAAATGTTGAATAATGCATGATGAATAATTTTTAATAATTATTGATTATCTGAACTGAACATTATGTGCATGATATCAAATGATTTGATTATGAATTTAGATTCAGTTTATATGGATGTTCGATGCATTAGATATGCTTACTCAGCTTCAACGCTGAGCGTGTAGTATGTTTTATTTGCTACACGCAGGTTAATGAAGTGACGTGATCCTGGAGGCAGACGGAGGCGAGATTGTCGGAATGGATGTGATGGTTTTGAATTAAAGAACATAAATAAATTATGTTTGTGATTATGAATGTTAAGCTTCCACAATATTGAAAACTCCGTACTGTTTATATTATGAAAAATATTATTGTGATAAATAAAAGTGTTTGAAATGTTTTAAATTTTTACGATTACCAAGTTAAATACTTTAGTCCGAAAGGGGCTGCAGACCTGGACGGATTAGGGTGTTACATCATCCGGCTTAAGATTGGGAGACCATTTGGTCACAACCATGACTTCCTTCCCTAGCGTCCAGGATTTTCGGAAGAAGAAGCGCTGGTAATCTTCATCACGTTCGAAGTTGATAAGGACGCTGTTGGAGGAGAGGTCCCCTACGGTAAAGCCACCAGCAAAACCAAGGCGATCCAAAAAGCTTTTCACCACAGAGACTGGAGGTTTACGTCGGAACCTCCCAACAACTGCATATTTGAACCGCCTCGAGAAAACCTCCACCTCAGCCTTAGAAAAAAAGACCGATGGACATCCCTCGAACATCTGCTTCTCAAGAGATCTAGGGCATGAAGGAACATCCATGAACAGATCGGAGAAAAGCTTGGATTTCACCGGGACAACTCCATGGTCCGTCGCCGGCATAGGTTCCCTAGGGTTGGAAAGCATTTTTCCTCATATATATATATATATATATATATATATATATATACACACACACACACACTCTCCCTGCGTCCATAAATAAAGTTCTCACTTTCCTTTTTCATCCGTCCAAAAATAATCTTGCCATTTCTATTTTTGGAAAGTTTTTCATACCTAAAAGTCTAATTACCCTCCCCACCCAATCCCTATCTTTTCTTTTACTTTCCCCATCCGTTTCCTTTCCCACCCCATCTTTTTCTCTCTTTTCTCTCTTCTTCTTCTCTCTTTCCTTATCATCTTCTTCTTTCTTCTTCTTTTTGTTCTTTCTTCTCTTTTCCACTTCTTTTTTTTTCTTGTAAAGTGAGAGCAATGAAGCAGTGATCGAGTAAAGGTCGGGCAGCGAGGCGGTGGCGGTGGTCGAAGGTGATAGGGCGGTCCGATCTCCTCCTCTTCCTCTTTCTCCTCCTCTTCTTCTTCAATTCCATGGTCCAATGCTCAATCCATCTTAAACTCTTCTCCTTTCTTTTCTTCTTTCTTGTCTATCTCCGTCAGATCTGAAGAAATCGACGGTGGTGGCGGAGATTAGGTACCGATTGATGATGGTGTGTTGGACCGGAGGAAAGGAGCCCCAGATTTCTTTCTTCTTCGTTTTTTTTAAATTGAAGGCGGTGGCGGCAGTCGGAGTTGACGTGGTAGACATCAAGGTGGCCGTCAATGATAATGGAGAAGCAGCGAGGATGGCATCCCGTTGCATACAGAGAAAATCGGTGGCCAAGAAGAGAAGAGAAGGGATAAGGGATGAGGGGTATTTTAGTAAGGTCAAAGTAAATTTCATCTTTTATTAAACTTCGTTTATTAAACTCCGTGCCTGGTCAAACCGGAAACTTTAATAATGGACGGAGGGAGTAGACACACACACACACACACACACACAGATATATATATATATATATATATATATATATATATATATATATATATATATAGGGGGCGGTTCAGGTGAGAATGCACCTTGATGAAAGAAATAAGAATAAAATCTAGCCTTTAGATTTGATGCATCGTGCGGCTCAGATTGCATCCTGCACTCAGATTTTGAGATTATGCATTTTCAAGGGATTATGGTGCATTTCTACATGATGCATTTTCAAACCATTTTGGTGCATCTAATTTTGATGCAATCCTAACCCTTAGATCTCACAATCTAATGCACCGGATTCATTCTTATTTCTTTCATAAGATCGCATTCTTATTTTATACACACACACACACACACACATATTAGAGAGAAGGGTGCAGATTCTGCCAAACATATTGAAAACAAAGATGATTTTGACTTCCATGGTTCCCACACTACCAAGGAACCTAATACCCTCACTGGCCTTGCCTCTCTTGGAAATGATTAGCAGAAATCTGATCCTGTCACTACTTGTCCTAACAGATACACTGAAGCTGTCCATGTATCCACTGCCCCTGTTACTACTGTTCAGTTGAGTACTAATGCCTCTCCAAATCATAATCTTGATGTCCATGTCTCTACTATCCCCGTCACTAATGGAAATGAAGTGCCAATCTCAGGTTCCAATGAAATCTTAAATGATACCAAACCCAAGGCTAGCCTAGAGCCGAAGGTTTCTTCTTTTTGTGTTTTCAGGGAATTGAAGAGGAACGAGCCAAAGCTAGAGCTAATGACGGAATGAGGATCTTCGCCAAACTCCCCTTCAAAGAACAAATCATGCAACGCAAGCTCGGACACCAAAAATTGAATGCTAAGGAGCAAAACTTCACGCCGACTAACACTATGATATCAAAGTGTATACCAACTGGATGCTCCTCGGCCCCAACAACTAACCAGTTCGACCCACTTGAGGATATCCCAGAAGATGATCCACTACTTGAAGAGCATCTTGAAGATGACTTCATCCTTGTACGCTCTAAAAAAGCTAACAAGAAAGCAGCCCCTGATATGACGATTCAAACAAGAAGTGGAAGGGCGCCCCATGGACCGCGTGGAAAGAACCCTCGAGGGAGTTGTAGCGGAAGGCATGGCCGTGGTGCCATATAAGATTTATCTTTGCTTTATGTACTGGGCCTTGCGCCCTCATTCAAAACTTTCTCTTCTTGCATTTTCTTCTCTTTGTACTTCACTTCATTTAATAAAAATCTCTTTCCAAAAAAAAATATTAGAGAGAAGGGTTTTTATTCATGCAAAAGAATCAAGTACAAGGGGAAGGAACTACCCAAAAGTGGTAGAAGAGAAGGAAAAAGGAAAAAGCAACGTATGGGACGCAGCCCAAATGCGGAGGAGACGCAGCCCCTAACAAAAAACAAAGTGAAATAGCCTTAGTTGCGACCTCGGCCTCGCATGCCTCGTCCTCGGCCTCGTTGGGAGTATTGACCCCTACAAGGGAGTTGTCCACTTCTTGTTTGAATCGTTAGTTCTTGAGGGGAGTCCGTTTCTTGCTTTTGACCAGGGTGAAGTCCTCTTCATACTGATATTCTTCACAATCAAATTCTTGTTTTGTTTGGTTCCTTGTCTCCTCATTATCCTGGCTTGCGTCAAATGTGTCATTTGCAGCAAACTCTTGGGGTTCTTCATCTTTAGAACATGCTGAAGTTGCATCTTTAGTGACCTCCAAAGGTTTTTCCATTGATTCAAAGTCATCCTGTTCCTTGACCTCGATGATGAATAATTGACCATCTACCTCGATGATAGTTTCCTTGTAGATATGTCTGGTTGCTGTTTTCGCCTCAATAGCAGTCACAGGGTCAGGTGATATTTTAGCTGCCTGAGTCTTATTGGGAGTAGAACACCCATTTCTTAGGAAAAACATCATCAGCAGTGTTGCATTTTCTGGCAATGTGCCCAGATTTTTGGCAATCCCTACAATACTTTATGATGTCCTCGTATCTCACTGGTTGGAAGAAACCATGGCCTCCATTATCAATCCATATCTTCTTCGGTAGTTCTTGTGTAATATCCATTTCAACACAAAAACGAGCCACAGACGGTCTGATTAGAAGCTGCCGTAACCTGATGTAACCTTCACATCCAGAGTCCAAGGATAGGCAAAAAAACATATGCAAAGCATTGACAAATAGCACTATTAACCTGTAGCAAGCTTCACAATGCTGGAATTAAATTCATTCAACCAATATATTCAAATACTAATATCATGTCAATGCAGGCAGTGTGTTACCCAAACAAATGGAAAAAGGGGACACTTCCATGGGTAAAAGGGCCACCAAAGTTATTTTTATAGAGCCTGCTGCACTGGATTCTTGAGCCATTGAAGCAACTTTTGCCATTTGCAAATCTTTTTCATTGACCAGAATTGATGGAGCATGGTCTTCAATTATGATTTCAGTATCATAGTGATTCATCAAATGCTTATCTAGACTTCTCTTTCACCCCAGGATTAGGTCATCCCAATCAACCATTGCCATGCAAGGACTAAACAGCTGACCAACAATCAGTAGGCATCAGTGCACAATTGTCCTCAAGGTAATCCAACTAACTATCTTTATACCATCTGCTTCACAGTATCATCTTAGAATTGCAATGAAAGATAACATAAAGTCAATAGAAAAGAAGTAAAGAAATACACACCTCTTGTTTTTATTTTACTTTTTATGAATGCAAGTGGCTGTGATGAAAACTGATTTGATCACAAAGTTGTGCAGCAAGAACAAGAGCAGGGCCCCACAAATGATCCTTTTGTGCATGCAGTCGTGCTTCTAGCTTTCCATCTGAAACCAAAAGAACTTGAAATTATGCAATTGTAGCCTAAAGAATACATATTGGGAAAGAGATTAAGAGAAAATTTAAGACAAATAGATTTTACCTGCATCTGTCCTATAGAAGAAAATTGTTGCATGCATTGAGTACCTTCCACCCAATTGGTTTCAAATTTCTCAAGAATACATAATTTGAAAGTATTTCAAATAAAGTAAAAAGAGCACGAGAGGAGCGTAAAAACGATAGAAGCAACCTCTATATATCTGATGAGTAAACTGGTCGGTAACAATGTAGTCATCAAAAGGTTCGACTGCTGAAGTTCAACACCAATGCCCACCCGCCAGGTACCAACCAAAAAAATCTATAGAAAAAAAATAAAAAACCAAAACCCATTGTCATTGACCAATAAGAAACCCAGTAGCCCAAACCGTTCTTAGAAACAACCATCACCCTTTGACAAATTAAAGTAAATATCATAAGAAAAGTTTTAGTCACCATGTCCTCATCTCCAAATCTATCTTCCAAAAAGAGAAGAAAAATAACTTAAATAAATTAAAAGGACATAAGACTATTAGGGATAGATTAGAGGTTCTTATCTTTTAACAAAGATCAAAGAATAGAACACCAGTTTCTTATAATAAGGGAAACATTCTGTTGAATAAGTCCAATGTTGAATAAGTCTAGTGTTCACTCAGTATTTTAGTATTAATCAAGTTCGTTGTCCTATTCTTTAGGAAGTAGCTATTCACTTTCTATGGCTTTCCTTCTTTTTAGCAAATACAGTTTCTTTCATTATCTTTGAATGTACTGCCTATAAATTGGCTTTCCTATGGAATAATTTATCATCAAGTTCTTCTCTTGTTCCTCTGTTGATTTCCTGAGTTGTCCAATTTATATTAGTTTTATACATTTCTTCTTATTAAGGTTGCTCACATCCTGTTTGATAAAAGTTCCCAAAGAAACCTAGTCTACATTAGGTATCGGAGCCACTGTCTAATCATTGCAGCAGCAAGAACAGTTGGTTTGATGGCATCAGAAGGTTTTGTTCAACCTTCTATCCCACGTTTTGATGGTCACTACGATCATTGGAGCATGTTGATGGAGAATTTTCTCCGGTCCAAGGAGCTTTGGGCCGTGGTGGAAACTGCAGTAGCAACTCTAACCGTTGAGATGCCGGCTGACCAAAGGAAAAAATTGGAAGCTTTGGAACTGAAGGATGTCAAAGCTAAAAACTATCTCTTTCAATCAATTGATCGGGATAATTTTGAGACCATTCCTTGTAAGGAAACCTCCAAAGATATTTGGGACTCCATGAAGAAGAAATGCCAGGGAAATGCAAAGACAAGGAAGTTGCAACTCCAAACTCTACATTCGGAGTATGAATAACTCCGGATGAAGGATGGTTAAAAATTTGCTAATTATTACTCAAGGACTATGACAATAGTCAACAAGATGCAGTGTTATGCTAAAGAACTACAAGATGGAACCGTTGTTCAAATGATACTACGGTCACTGACGGCAAAATACAACTATGTTGTATGTTCGATTGAAGAGGCAAATGACACCGATGAAATGTCACTGGATGACTTGGAGAGCTCTATTCTGGCTCATGAAAAGAAGCTGATTTCCCAAGAAGCTGAAGGTGAGCAGGCCTTGAAGGCCTCTGTAAATCACCAGCCCTCATCAAATAAAAGAGGTGGTCAAGGCAGAGGTCGTGGGAGAGGAAGAGGAAGCAACTACCGTACCCAACATCAAACCAATCAATTCCAAGAAAGAGGAGGAGGACGAGGCGGTCACCACTCAACAAATCATAAATCAAAGTCAGTAGACAAATCAAATGTTGAGTGCTACTGCTGCCACAAGTATGGTCACTACCGGAATGAGTGCTACAACAATTTGAAAGGGAAAAATGAAGAAAAATCTCATTTTGCTGAGAAGGAAGAAGAAATATCAGAAGTATCACTTCTGATGGCATAGCACGTAGAAGAAGACACCCATCAAAATATTTGGTATTTGGACTCTGGTTGCAGCAACCATATGTGTGGGGATAAGAATGTGTTTTCTGAATTAAACACCTCTTATCGGGACACTATCAAGCTTGGGAACAACTCAACAGTGGATGTTATGGGGAAAGGAAAGATCACAATCCAAACACAAGGAGAACTCAACATATGTGATTTCTAATGTTTTCTTTGTTCCAGAATTGAAAACCAATTTGCTAAGCATGGGTCAGTTGCAAAAGAAGGGGTACAAGATCTCAATCACGGTTGAGACAATGGTGTCACACACTTATCTTTTTTTTATTGAGTCCAGACTTCCCAAGAGAAAATGCACAGACACGCCGTCTGCAAAAGCTAACCACTGTTGGAGCTACAGCATATACTCGGCCAATGAATTTCCTTAAGCTCTTTAGTCCTTCCTTCTAGATCTGAGTGGGGGAGGATTAAATTTCCCCGTTACTGAACGGTGAGGACGTAAAAGCCGTCGTGGGACAATGAAATCCGGACCCTTTCGCCGCCATTGCTGAACGTGGTGCGATTGCTGGATGTTCCGTCACTAGCCAATATCTTTGTCTCATGGCTGGCCGGGACGAAGGAGTGAACGGAGCAGCAACGCGGATCCGTCCAGGGGCCAAGTGAGGCATTGGCCATTTGAGGGGGTGCCGTCGGCAGCGATAGATCTGGAGCTATCACGCCCTGGCTGGAGCTCGCCGTCGCTCCAGAGCCTTCGTTGCTGGCTGCGCAGAGGCAGGATGCCGCGCAGCTCTTGGTCGTCGCGTCCGTGCGGTCGTCACCGGTGGATCGTTGCCGGCTAAAGCAAGAGGTGGACGCCTGTTGGGGGTCGTCAATTGGCTCCTGGGACGACGAATCTGCAGCGAGGCTCTCCCATCGTGCTTCGAAGCCTGCACTGGGTGGTGGCTGGAAGATTTGTGCGCGGAATCAAGATCTGGCCGGCGATGGGTGGTGGCTCGAAGATCTTGACCTTCTTAGTGGTGGCAATGGCCGGCGAACTCAATCCGGTACCTCCTCAGCAGATCTACGGCGAGGCGCGCCCGTCGAGGCCGGCGGTGATCTTCCGTGTGCCAATGATCTAGTCGGAGATGGCGGGGAATCTAAGACCAGCGACCAATCCCACCACGAAGATTTAGAAGAACCACTCTTTTGTTTGTTTTTTTTTTGGAGCACGCTTGATGTGTTCGACACTCTCAATGAAAGCACCAATGTTGGGTTATGGAACCCGGGGGCCTAGGTGGCTAGGCGGATGAGTATCGAACTAAGTATAAGTGCACGAAAATATGGGGTCAAGTAGACTGAGAATGGTATCGTGCTAGTGAGGATAATACTTAGAACGTAAGTCCGGAGCGTGTGGAATGAGCTCCTCCCCTTTCCCTCTTCCTAGAAGAGGGGTATATATAATGGGAGAGTGAGGGCTAGGGTTTACATACAAAGACAAATGGGCCGGCCCAACAGGCTGGGCCGCCCTAAATAAGTAATAAACAAACGACAAACGGGCCGATCGCACAAACTAGACCGCCCCGACTGATATTACACAAAGACCGGATACCCCCGTCCGGGGTATCCATCAATGTATTATTAAACAAAAGGACGGTGGCCGCGTTATTATATGGAGTACTTGTTTAGAATTTTTATTACTTAATTAATTAGTCCTATTTATAGGAGTTTAAGTTTGAGATCCTATTTTGAGGATATGACATATGTTTTACACTTTTACTCCTATTTAGGGGGTTTTCTTATAATATTATGATAATTTCTACACTTAGAATGATATTAACGAGAATTAAATTCTCTCTCTCTCTTTCCCTTCTTTACCACGCACACACCATGAAAATGGGGGGGGGAGGGGAGTATTTATCATTTGTAATGGACATCATCATCATCATCATCATCATAATACAATGTAACATACATATCTATAAAAACAAAAGTACATGTACTTTAAAGCATGATGGGGGACAAAGCCACCCATCCATCCCATGGCAAGGATGTACGAAAATGGGAAAGGGGGGAAGGATTAAAATCCTCCTCACTTAAATGTTAAAATTGTATTTTATTTGGTATCAATAATTTTTATGATATTAAATAAAATACCAATATCACTTTAAAACAAGTATATAAAATATACTCCCTCCGTCCCAAAGTATTTGTCCACTTTCATTTTTACACACTATCCAATGCACTTCTTTAATCCATTTTATCTTGTAATTTGTATATTAAAAAATTATAGAAATTATATATTAATAATCTATATGTTAAGACAAATCAAACAAGATCACACATGACTATATTTAGGCTTACACATTGAGAGAATTTGATGAGTCAAAGTGCTTAGATAAACAGTTCCAAAAGTCAAAAGTGGACAAATATTCTGGGACGCAGGGAGTACTTTAAAATAGTTTTTGTCAAATTTAAAATTTACATATTTTAAAATTGACATCTCAAAATAAAATGTACACAATATAGTATACACACACACATATATACGGTGTACATAAAATTAATAACGTATATAATATATATTATATAAAACATTTTAAATTACTATTTTATAATATACAAATTATATATTATCCCTTCAAAATAATCATACTCTTTAAATTATCCAAAGTCTGTGACCCGTATACGCACTTTTAAAGCTGGCCATAATATTGAAACAATACTATAAGTAATGAGCGGTATCTAGCAACACATCATTACCCCCAGATTATAAGTTTAGACGTTTACTCCGTCAAAACCTTTCTACGACTAAGACTTTGTATAACGTAGATCCTTTTGTCTCAATATCTTAACTTAGTGTAAGGGATATAAACTAGCCAACTTGTAGCCATTAAGTTATTTACTGATTAACAAGTCTGATCGATGAGAACAGATGTCTAAACTCATCGCAGCATGGCCATGCATTTCCTCAGTCATACTTATCAGTGGGCCCCTACAAGACATTATTCTGCTAAAGTAGCAGTGACAAATTCTTTGTACGTAATCTACGTCTTTGAATATGCGCATTGGCATGGCCAATACAAAGCCTGTGTGCCATGCTTGTTTCACACGGCTTTGGACAATGAATCAAAGCATACGGGTTCACGCATTCGAAGAACGTAATACTTCAAGTCTAAGGATCGTTATACCAATAGTCGCATTAAGGACACTTAGAGCATAGACTAAAAGTCTAGGAAATATCCTTAAGGTGGGTCAGGTCTGGCATCCTATTATTAACGATAATATCTACCCGAGAGTAGATGCGAACACTCCGTCATTGACCAAGAGACTAGGTAAAACATCTAACTCTCACTAGTCTCACACGCACTAATGATATCCCACTCTCGTTAATGCTTCGACTATATATGTTAGACAAGGCGTGCAACTCTAGAGGGGGGGTGAATAGAGTTGTTGAGAATGTTTACCGATTTTCGCAGGATTAATAAAATAAACGTAAGTGCAGCGGAAATAAAAGAGAGAAGGTAAAGAATGCACCGATGTATACTGGTTCACCACCTCGTGGCTAGTCCAGTTCCCCGAGAGACTCTCTCGAAGCTACCNCTAGGCGGATGAGTATCGAACTAAGTATGAGTGCACGAAAATATGGGGTCAAGTAGACTGAGAATGGTATTGTGCTAGTGAGGATAATACTTAGAACGTAAGTCCGGAGGGTGTGGAATGAGCTCCTCCCCTTTCCCTCTTCCTAGAAGAGGGGTATATATAATGGGAGAGTGAGGGCTAGGGTTTACATACAAAGACAAATCGGCCGGCCCAACAGGCTGGGCCGCCCTAAATAAGTAATTAACAAAGGACAAACGGGCCGATCGCACAAACTGGACCGCCCCGACTGATATTACACAAAGACCGGATACCCCCTGTCCGGGGTATCCATCAAAGGACTTCAATAAAAATAAAATGTCAATCATGAAAGAAAAAATATGTTTGATTACATTATGTAACATGTCTGATATTTGAAACAAAAACTTTATTATTTATTTATAATAAGTACTGTATAAAAAATTGAGGTGTAATGTAACTACAAAAACTTTTTAAAATTTAATATTTTTATATCTATGCTAACTTTATATTATAATTATTTTTTTTGCAAAAGTAACTTTTTGTATTTGAAAAATAACAATACTTTTTTTGTATCTTAAAGACATTCATTAAGAAAACGTGATGATGATTATGATGATGATGATAATACTCCCTCCGTCCTAAAATTAACTTCCCATTTGACTTTTCACAGTCTCCAATGCGGCACTTTGATCATTAATATCTCCATTTTTATATGAATATATATTATTAAAATAATATATTTCAAAACTATGTTTCAAAATGAATCTATTGATACCAAATTTATATGAAAATTCAATATATTTTTTCCGTAATATACAGTCAAAGTTTAAAAACTTTGACTACAAAAGTCAAAATGGGAAATAAATTTTAGGATGGAGGGAGCAATATAATAATAATAATAATAATAATAATAATAATAATAATAATAATTTATAATAACAAGAATTTAAAATAATTTTTTTAAAAGTTTTTTTAGGTTTTCTAATTTTTTGATGTTTTTCCAGTTTCTTCTCGTTCCTTCCCGTTTTTTTCAGTTCTTTACAGTTTTTTCCAGTTCCTTCCATTTCCTTCTAGTTTTTCTAGTTTCTTCCAGTTTTTTTTCAGTTTTTTCTAGTTCTTCCAGTTTTTTCCAATTCCTCCTAGTTTTTTCCAATTTTTTTTCAACATCTAGCTCTTTTTTTCTAGTCCTAAAGAACAGGCTCTTAGTGTCTGTATTTGTCTCATGTACAAATAGGATTACCCCATTTTGGTGTACCGCTAACATGACCCAAATTAAATTTATAGCATTGAAATCCAATAAACTTTATAATCTACTAGGAAGTTTCCTTATTATTTTATTCATTTATTAATTATTATACTTCCCCATTCCTTAAAGTCCTTCCATTTTGACTTTTAGGAGAATTAATGAAAAGATATTTTTGTGTTGACTTTCCAAAAATATCTTTGATGTGATGATAAAAAGTAAGATATGATGAGTAAATTATTAGTAAATTATCACTAAATGTAATTTGAGAACTTTTTTTTTAAAGTAAGCCATTTGAGAACATGATCCCAAATGATTTGACTATGTTCACAACATACAAAGTGGATTCAGGAGTTCTTTTGGCACATTAAGCAATACTTGTCCCTGAAAATAATCATTTTATTTGACTTTTTACAATTTCCAACTAATACTTAAACTATTACGGAGTAATACTTACATTTATATATGAATATATTTTAGGGCCAATAGCGCTGATACCCCTCGTGATTTGCAAAATAAGCACCAATACCTCATCTGTTTTCAAAACTCATTTCTAAAGTCCCTGTGGTTTCAAAATGTTGTACTCGTGCCCCCTCTAATAATTTTCCGGCCATTTTTCCGGCGAAGAAGGGGGCAATGGTGCATATTTTTTAAACCATAGGGGGTATCAGTGCTGATTTTTATTTCTCGCATATTTTTTGTTCTTTCCATTTTTTCCTTATTTTGTTTCATTTATTAATAAAGGATTTTTAAAAAATTATTTTTATAATGTTCATAAAATTTAAAGTTATTTTTGTTTGAAAAAATAACATATAATGCATATGTACTTCTCAAATTAACAATTTTTGTTTTTTCTGAAAAAAAGTAATTTTTTTTAAGAACTTCAAAAAAATGAGGAATAAAATAAGAAACAAATTAATACAAAAATAAAAATGAATATCGTTTTTGGACATCTTAATTCTATGGACTTTTTTAGGCATGTCTATTTTTTTTGTATAAGATTTTTTTTGCGTATTTTAATTTTTTTCATTTCATTTTTCCATATTTTTATTTTTTTATTCTTTATTTTTTGAACTTTTCAAAAAATTATTCTAAGTAACAAAGAGTGAAAATGTTTAATTTGAGATAGATGTAATATATGTTAATTTTTTTTATTTTTATTTTCATTTCAAACACAAAGAATTTGAAAATTTTTGAAACATTATAAAAAATTGAAAATATATTTTAAAAAATCTAGGAAAAGGAAAAAGAGATAGAAAATATTTAAAAAAAAGGAAGAATAATAAACGAAAATAAGAAATGAGCACGAATGCCCCCTATGGTTTAAAAATTATGCGCCAATGCCCCCTCTTCGCCGGAAAATGGCCAGAAAATGATCAGGGGGGGTGTGGGTGCAACGTTTTGAAACCACGGGGACTTTAGAAATAAGTTTTGAAAACAGAGGGGGTATTGGTGTCAATT